ACGAGGAGACTAGTTTGTCTGTCCAAAACTCGCGCAGCGCAGCACGACGTTTTGCCGCAACAGGCGCTGAGGTGCGGGGAAAGACCGCAGTGGGTTTGCGCGGCAGCAAAGGCTCCAACTCGAGGTCTTTACATGCATAGCCGATGGCCCAAAAAAAGGTGAGTTGTTCTCGAAAAATGAAGGGCAGATCGGTGGTGTAACGAACGCCCAACTTGTGTACACATAAAATTCGCCATGTCGAAATACGTGGAGTCAAATCAGAGAGCACCACGGGGAAGTCGGCGGATGCAGGCCGGTAAGCCGGCACAAAAGCAGTAGGAGCAGTAGTAGAAGCGGGGAGCATGCTGTCATCTCGAGCCCCACAAACAGGGGTTGCAGCTCAGGCCGCTGCCGCCACAACGTATCCGCCACAGAAAGAACTTCATTGACTCCCGAAGCAGAAAAAATGACTCGTGATGGGCATTTCATGTAAGAAAAATCGGGAGAATCACCGCGGCGCCCTCCTATGCGCGTATCACTAGCAAGGTCCCAGTCTCGTGAGCGACGAGCAAAAGCATCATGAGCCGGCATCCCGCAGGTAATCGCCAGTAAGGGCGAAGTCTAAATTATCGTGGGTGGTGCGACCTAACAACAAGCAACGTGGTGGTCGTGAGCAAAGCGTGCCTCGGCGCACGAAAAGGGAAGAATCGCGTCCAATTCTCTCATACCGTGCCTGCCAGACTGACGCCAAGTTTAAAGGAATGCCCGCCCGACGATGGCTTGCCTCCTAGATGTAGTAGATGTAGATTCTGCCGTAGACACTCTTGTCCACGAGCACGTTGAGATGGGAAGGTTGCTTGTTATTGCAGAAGCGGGTCTGCTACAGGTCTGAGGTGAGGCGGATTGCCCTCAACCTGGGGGCACGCTGATCGCTAAGTCCCGATGGGGTACGTCCTAAGAGGGTATACCTCCTGACGTCCCCATCTTAATCTAGACCGACTGTGTACCCTATCTGTGCCATACAACAACACTCCTTAACACTAGCCCACCCTGAAGATCATCTATACAGATTCTATACTCAAATCCTAAGGCTACTAATAGCTGATGATTTAGGATCATGAATCGAAAGATATGACTATTCACAAGTGTATCCAAAGGAAAGAGGAGCTGTAGGAATTTCCCGACTCGACCCCCCACACCCACAAGAGGTTCCCAGTTTAGGGTAAATTCTGTGGGTAGAGAGTGTTAAGGAGGACCCGATTCGCAGGGTATCCGTCGATTGACTTTTACCTGAATCGGTACATCTTCGCATATGGCGACGCAGATCATTCTGTGGGTGGAGAGTGTTAAGGAGGACCCGATTCGCAGGGTATCCGTCGATTGACTTTTACCTGAATCGGTACATCTTCGCATATGGCGACGCAGATCATTCTGTGGGTGGAGAGTGTTAAGGAGGACCCGATTCGCAGGGTATCCGTCGATTGACTTTTACCTGAATCGGTACATCTTCGCATATGGCGACGCAGATCATTCTGTGGGTGGAGAGTGTTAAGGAGGACCCGATTCGCAGGGTATCCGTCGATTGACTTTTACCTGAATCGGTACATCTTCGCATATGGCGACGCAGATCATTCTGTGGGTGGAGAGTGTTAAGGAGGACCCGATTCGCAGGGTATCCGTCGATTGACTTTTACCTGAATCGGCACATCTTCGCATATGGCGAAGCAGATCGGGACTTATCAATCGACGGATACCCTGCGAATCGGGTCCTCTAACACTCTCCACCCACAGAATTTACCCTCAACTGGGAACCTCTTGTGGCCAGGATGGGTAATTCGATGGAAGTGTCACAAGGTTCTTTGTAGGATCGACTCCAAGAGGTGTTCTCAGGACTGACACACATTGCGTCCTTGGGAAAATATCCAAGTTAGGAGAAAAAGTGTGCACCCAACGAGATTCGAACCAGTATTCTGCCACTGACGCCATGTATGCGAAGATGTACCGATTCAGGTAAAAATCAACCGACGGATACCCTACGAATCGGGTCCTCCTTAACAGTTTCCAGTCAACCGGGAATACCCGTTTTTCTAATCGATGCCCATTTCTACCCGAGACGGGCTTTCTTTTCTCCGGAATGCCAACTGTGCTACTTCTGCTGTGCGAATGGATTGGACAGTAGGCGACATGATAAAACTATAGGTGCGCAGGATAAGGGTCGCTAGTTTCTCTCGATACCCAGGGTGCTACCCGAACTCTCTTGATTTGTCCTCCTGTTCAACTCAGTGCCGCTATTGACGCGGGACGGCACGGCCTTTTGGTTGACGTGGTGAAATCACACAGCTTCCAGAGTGCCCCTGCCCTGCGATATCAAGTTTTTGGTAGCATGTGCGCGACAAGGTGGACCACAGGCACGTTTCTCTGAGTACCGTCGAACGGCTAGTGATTGAACTCAGTCGTTCTGTGTTCTTGATGCACCCAGCCACCCTCCCCACATTCACCCAACGCCTGCTGCGCCCTCTTGACCCGTCAGGATGAAACGTGTGGTCACACATGTGCTGAGCTGCGGGTATTTGCACGGACAACCAGGCGCGCCCTTTCACAATTGGTACGAGTCGGGTCAAATGATGCACCGGCGCACAACATTGGAGTTCTCGCAGCGAGTGGGGGATTTTCGCTGTTCGCGGCTTGGCTTGCGATTCTGTGGGAGGGTCGCACAGTCGTTCCTTTAAGCACCGAGGCTCCGGTACACCGGACCGATAGCATCCTTGCGGATGCCATGGTGAGGGTAGTGCTTGTGACTGACGAAGAAAGTGCTGTCGTTGCCACGAAGGCAAGTAGCCAAAATGTTTCGATTTTGCGTATCCGAAGGTTGGAAGCAACAGCAGCGGGCGACGGCCCCGTGCTCTGCGACAGTGAGCAGGATGTGCCAACCTCTTTCGATAGCTTGGAGAAGGCAGCCGCCAGCAATGGAGACGCGTACCTCTATTACACTTCGGGTTGTTCGGGAGAACCGAAGGGGGTTTCCTTTGGTCACGGCTCCATGGTGAATCGCCTCCGCGGATGCAAGAGCGGTGGCCATTCGCAGAGGACGAAGTATGCTGCCAGCGGGTGGAACACGTTTTCATCGACTTCGTCGCGGAGGTTTTTGGCCCACTGTCGTGTGCCATTCTAATTATCGTCGTGCCGTCCGAGGTGCGGAAGAACTCAGTGCTGTTGAGAGATTATTTCATCACCCACGGCGTAACATGGATAACGTTGGTCCCGACGCAGGCAAGACGTATTGCCGAAGCAGCACTTATGGTGCCGTCCACTTTCGGGATGGCCTCAAAACGTAGCATCTCGGCGAAGATGAACAACGAAATCTACGGTTTTGCGACGACGGGAGCACTTACGTTGTTCAAGAGCGTTCGGCTTTGGATACTCTGTGGGAAGCGCTGCCGTGGGCCGTGGCCCGCAGCCTAGCACGGCTCTCAATGCCTAATTATACTCTGCTGAACCTCTACGGATCTACTGAGGTGGAGGCAGACATAACTTTTTTCAGTTTGAGCTGCAAAGTGATGCCTTGGCTACGAAAGACAGCAAACAAGGCGCAGAGGAAATGGTCAGGGCCCCGCCTAGCGTTTCCATCGGTAGACCTATCTCGAACTGTGGCGTGGAGCTATTGGAGGTGTCGCAACATCACAAGCGACGGGATGAAGTACGCACGCGCGACGAAAGCCCGCGGAAAGCCCGCCGCAAAGCCTGCGCAGGATCGGTCCCGAAGAACAGGGGCGTGTGGGTCTGCTGTACGTGTCGGGGGCTGGGCTAGCACGTGGGTACTGGGGGAGACCGACGGCGACGTGATATTGCTCCCCCGCTTACACGTGGGACTCGGTGTCTTCGTGCTATGAACTTTGTTCAAGCGATCCTACGGAGGCCTTGCCCTTGCATGTAGACACCCCGACGCTACAACCACACGGTGACGGAGACGCTCGTGGTGATGTTGAAGACATCAGATCTGGGTGTCAACACGGGCAGAAGGTTCGATTTTTCTGCAAAGGTGACCTGGCATCGTTCGAAAGAAGCCAAAAAGGCGGAGGGTGGAGCCTTGTGTGCCGGGGACGCCTTGACCAACAGATCAAGATCAATGGTCGCAGGCTCGACTTTACAGAGGTGGAGGTTTGCCTTATTTAGTCCGGGGGCGTCACCCTGGGAACTGCCGTCGCTCTAACCGAACAGCACGGTGGCGACGGTAGGGAACGCTCCGATTGGGGGGTTGGAGACGTAGTCGGCGTGGTAGTTTCACCCGAGACAGTGGACACCGATCGTTGTCCTGGCCGAGTACCGACGCTGCCTGCCGAGTTTTGCAGTACCGCAGGTCGTCGTTGCAGTCTCGACCACGACAACCCTCCTGGATAGCGGGAAAGTGGATTGTCGGGAGGTACGGCGGATGGTTTCCAAACATTGGCATCATCATCACGCGAGTGCCAGCAGCGATGATGCCGACCACTCTGCCGCTTCGGTGGTATCTGGCACCCGCCAAGGATCGACAAGCGTCCGTGACATCAGTGTCGAAAAGGGGATGAGTCTCGTCAACGAGGCCTTGGTACGCACGATTCAGTCGTACGACCGTCTGGATATGCTTGCCGAGCGAAACCAGATTGGCGACGACAGCAACCTGTTTGTGGAAGTGGGTCTTTCTTCTGTTCAAGCAGTACGCCTTGTGCACGAGCTCCGACGCAGTTTTTCGTGCTATGTAGGCCTGATGGACTTGTACTCGCGCCCGAGCGCCCGACTCAGCGGCTGGTACTGACTGTTGGCGCCGAAGCTGAGGATGACAAGATACAGCAGTTTGATGACGTAGAAGCCGGAGAGGAACGGCTGCAGACCCTCGGCGTCGCTGGTGTGCATGTCAGAGGTGGCAGCATTGGCACGAGCAACGATAAAGGTGGTGACGAACGCGGAGCTGTAGAAAGCGCTAGAGATTCAGGCGCAACCTTTACCATTCGGCCAATCACCGAGGCCGTACTGACGGAGACGCGGGCCCTCAACAGAAGCGTCTTTCTGAATAACGAACCCCTCCTCTCGTCGAGATTCGCACGTTACCGTGCTACTCTGGGTCCAGTGGGAGCGGTGATTGTTCGGCAATGCCAAAAGCGGTTGGTTGGCTGCAGCATTGATTCGCTCCGGCGAGGTGGGGGGCGAGTGTTGGTTGCGACAGATGATGCCAGCGGACAAGTCCTTGGCTTCACAATCGGAACAGAGCTGACCGAATCCGCCCAAGGCTCAGGTTCCTCGCGAGCAACATTGCTGAAGCAGTGAATCCATGGGGAGAGACGGGGAGAAAGAGGTGAGCCCACGAGTTTTCGCCGTCGTACCGACACGACGCCATGGCAGAAGAGTATAGATTTCCTGTTGGGATTGCCACTCCAGCCCATGCTGCGCCGGGTTTCCGCCCTGTTCATGGAGCTCCTAAGCATATTACAGTACGAGAGAGGGTGGGCTTATGCGCCGGGCGATGTCATGAATATATCAGAGACAGGGTGTCGCCCGGGCCAACAAGAGATGGGCAAGGGTAAGAGCAAGCACCAGGTAGAGAGGGTGGCTGGAGGAGAAACAAGCGATACAGGCAACGGCGGGGTGCAAACTGCTCTCATGGCGGAGATGCTAGAACGGCAGCTTCTACGCAATGCATCCGCCGCGGGGTTTCTCCCCGCCGTGCCATCTGTACAAATGCGGTCACCGCTCATGTTGCTCGCGAGCTAGGGTTCAGAGAAGTAGCCCGGATATCTCCCTTCCAGACGTACCATCCTCTCGATGACCAAACTTCGGAGGTTTTGCCTTGGTGGTGTCCTTCGTGAAGGAAAGCGCAGGCGTTGTTTTCAGCGGGTCAACACTCTACCACTGCGCACGGGCGAGAGCACAGCGCACGACCGGAACCCTTCGCACGGGTGGCGGGAGAGCATGCCGACGTCATTTTGTTCGAGAAAGTTCTTGCGCCAGGTGTACCGCCGGGAATGCTCCTAGGGTGCCGGCCGCAACAGGCGGGGACCATCCCCGAACATTCTGCGGCTTCGCTCACCGTACACTCCAACACCGCCACCCACGATGCATCTGGCACACCTCGAATCCATGCTGTCGCTTTCGCTGCGGGCGAGCGTTGGCAGTTGGTGCAGGCTGGACGGGGCACTGGGAAGCACTACAGCGAGATGTTGGTGTTGCTGGCACGTAGTCTTCCCGCCCTAGCCTCATCCGGACGGGCTACAAGGTGCATGATCGAGGATGAAGAGAAGGGCAGGCCGCCTTCCTTCTCTTGACTGCTCCAGCGACAGTCTGTGGATCAGGAACGGCCGGAGGAGTAACAGTAGTGGCTTCGTCGACGAAAAGTGCACTAGAAGAACCAGGGCATGTGGACGCTTCCGATGGTGCAGCATACGCTGTTGAAGATCCAGCGTGGACCATTGCGGCGTGCATGTCTTGGCGTCGGTATACGAACCCGCGCGGTGGGAATAACTTGCAGGGGCCGGTAGAAAGGGGTTCCGGAGACGTCGTGTCCATTGAAGGGAGGAGTGAGAGCGAAGAAGCACCAGCGGGAAGGGTCACGCCAGCCTCTTCGCGAGAATTGTTGGTTTGAGCGGTCGGAAGCCGCTGGCGGTACCGAGGGTTGGGAGCGGCGTTGGTCGCACGTGTTCTAGCAGAGGCCTGCGAGGTTGGAGACTCCCACGTGCATTTGCGTGCACTTTCGGAGAGTGTGGGTTTCTACGAGCGGCATGGGTTTCGGGGCGTAGACCATGAAGGATGTTTCAGGGCGGGAAAAGATTTGGAAGGGCCGGTGCGAGTTGGTGACGGGGAGTGTTCATTGGTTCATGACCTTGGGCAGGTACTTGACCGTTATGCGCGGTAGATACGAGGGTCGACTTTGAGGAGGGATACCCTCGATTGCAGTTGTTGTTTGGTGTGAAATGGTTGGAGGCATGCTCATAGCTATTCCATGACCTATCTTGAGCACATAGTCTATGTCAGCATGTGCAGAAAACGAAGAAAGCGGTCGACATATGCATGCGGACGTTGCACCGGTTGCTATGCTGCCAAGTCACCCTGCAGAAAAAAGCAGCGGAATGTTGTCTTGAATGCCGCAGGTCGAGATTTCTAGTATTTTGAAGGGTGAGCGCACAGGGCGAATGGGTGCTTGTTGTGGCCCAGCTCGAAGCAAGACGGAGAGCGAAACACCCCAGCGTGTACCGTACAGTGCAAAGAACATACTCAACATGTTTTTTCCTGACCCGGGCATGGAGTTGGCGAATTGTTGTTCTATGGCGCCACTTCGACCAATCACTCAGCACCCACAGAAACCGATCATTAACTTCTAAGAGTTCGTCGCTTTCTCTTATCTACACCAAAGCTTGGTAGGTGCCGGCTTCAGAAGGGCACCGAAATGCAAATCCTACCGCCTGAACTTGAATGGTTTTCAAGGTCCTACAGCAATGTTTGCCTTGTGCACATTAGTTCAAGCTCCTTCAATGCACAGAGTTGCTTAAGGGGCGAGGGCGCCAGTCATATCGGCACATGCCGGCACAAAGGAATGCGGCCGCTCAGCCTTTCGCCCTGGCTGACGGGAAAGGCTTTGAATCGTCATTCATTGTGGGCGGTTTTTTTCTCCGGATAAAAGACCCCCGAGAGTTGATCAACGTCGTTGAAGTCTAGATACATCGTTTTGGAGGATGTTCTCCACCTAGTGTGTGATGGAGGGCACCCACCGCTAAAACAATCGATGTTGCCAAAATTACGTCTCAGTTTTCGATGCTGCCATCCAAACGATCCACCGCACGTATGTCATCAACTGTCAAAAACACTTCAACCTCTGCCCCACTATTGGACTCTCCTGCTATGCCGCATCGTTGCTTCGCACTGCCACCACCATCGCCGGCACCCTCCGTCTTCCCGTCACCCCTATCTCTCAAGGAGGAAAATGCATCATCAACTTTAATGAAAGCTTCGTGGTTTCCTTTGATCCGGTCGAGGTTTGACGACCGTGGGAGAATGATCGCCCCGCTCTGTAGGGCCCACGATAGCGCCACCGTCTGCACTGATGTGCCATGCGCCGAGGCGATCGCGATGAGGGTGGGGTCGGTAGAAACCGGGTTTGGGGACATTGAAGACGACGGTCGGTGTGCCCACTGTCCACCGAGGGTGCTGTAGGCGATGTAAGCAATCCCTTCACGCGAGGGGGTGAGTGGATAACAAGGGTAGATCGTTAAGTCAGAGGTTGAGAAGAAAAAAATGTACGAAGGCATTGTCAAAGCAGTAGTCTAGGCGGGAACAGGTTGTACTATCACCCCGCGGGCTACACTTGCTACATGAAGAAGGGCACTATTTTCTCCCCACTACCACTCCCCACTCCCGCACGAACTGAGTCACTGACATACGATAAGACGCTTACAGGATAAGTGAGTTACTGTAGAGCACGGGGTTAGAGACAACAATTGGACCCGTTGCTTTCCCCAAGTGCCACCTGGGCAAAGTACACGTGTATCGATCACAGTAGTCACCACACTTTGGACCGGTACCCTGAAGCCTCGCTGCAGATGCATATGTACAACGCAAAATCGGCACAACGCAACAGACCGACGGGGATGGCCCGCTTACCGTGTTCGGCACACAGCGCTCGCACTTCCCTGTCTTGGTGGAACGGGTCCATCCAATTCTGCACCGCCGCAGGGGCAACAGTCGCCATCCCTAGCAATTCTCGGAGCAAGCTTTCCGAGAAATTCGAAACCCCGATAGCCCTTACCGCTCCCTTGGAGTACATGTCTTCCAGCTGTCGCCAAGCATCTTGCCACGGGGCCGGGCTGTCGAAGCACACCGTCCCCACCGCCCCAAACAACGGCGAAGGCAAGTCGCGATTGCTGATTCAAGAAACAATGTTTGGGTTCGCCGGTTGAGTTGATATTGTCTGGCTGGACAACCCTTCTGCGACCGTTTTCAAGAATGGTGGTGAACGGTGCCGGTTGTTGCGAGGAGAGTCTTCGGACTCGCCCCTCCGAAATAATCAGGATAGAAGTGGTTGTTTGGGAACACAGGGACACCCCGGTCCGGGCGAGGCGAGTTGGTCCATCTCTAAGCGTAATCGAATAGAAAAACAAATTGTCGATGCAATGGGTACGTGTTATGAGTATCAACACTTTATCCCGGCCCCGTCAAACACGAGCCTTACCTGCGGCCGACAATCTTCAACCTTCGGCGGTCTTTGGCTCCAACTCGCATAGTTTCAACGCAGTTATGACACCTTGATATGAACTCACTTGACTGGGCACGACCCCGGCCAGCAAAACGGGGCGTGAAGCAGCAGCAGGTCGACCCCCTGGAAGTTTTTCAGCGAAAACAAAGAAAAGGGCACCGGACGTGAGGATCGGATGGGAAGGGAGCCGGAGTCGGAAGTCTGCAACAAAATTGTTCGACCTCGCTACAAGCGATTAGGCTTAATGGTGACGAATTTCGGAAGCAGTCGTTCATCGACAGGCCCTAAGCATCAAGCCAAGAACGTGAGCTTTCGACGCCGGGTACGACGCAGTTTCGCAGTTTGCAGGAACGAAAACCGGGCAAGGAAAATCCGAAAATCAAGCCACAACACGAAAGCTTTGCTCACCTGCAAATTGCTGCTGGAAGCCTCCACCATGGCACCCAGTCGCTCGGCGCCGAAATCCCTCGGGTGTATCTTAGTCGTGACAAACACGTGCTCTCTAGGTAAAAGCGCCGCCCCCGACATCGCTGTGAACGATTCTCCTTCTTTTTCCCTTGGCGACAAATCTGTTTTCGACAAAGTCGCCTGCTTGAGCGCCCTGCCAACAGCCTCTTCTCTGTACCATTCCTGGGCCTGCGGAAATGTCAGAAAACCTGTTAAAGATCAGCCAGGAGCAAAGGTAAATCAACCTGATACATGCATGTGGAAGACCCCATGCCCAAGAAGGTAGCAGAGCAGCATGGTGGCTAATGTCTACCCGTACACATGAAGCAGCTTCAAAAGAGTACAGGAAAGTTGGCTAAATATGTATGTTGTGGCTGGGCACAGAGTTTTCAAGTACCAACCCGCAGATCGCGGCGAGCTAGGCACACCATCTCTTGTGGACTGAATGACGAAATACCCTTCAAATTCAACTCATCTCTGGTACGGCGTGTCCCTCTCCTAGCGCTGGTTACTTGAGCATGAAGTTGGAGAAAAGAAAACCTATTCACAAGCCACAGAGGCAGGAGGAAACGAACGCAGGAAACGGCTATACATAAATACCTGTGCCGTATCAATGTGCCGATAGCCCGCCGTCAGCGCCACTGCGACGGCCTCTTCTGTCGCTTGCCCGAGCCCGGCGGTGCCAAAACCTATCCTCGGGACTAACGGAGCGACAACGAAGAGACAACAACGTACAGACGACCGAAATACGGCAAATGCTCAGCAATCGGAGTTATCGGTAGGCTCACGTGAACCTCGCCTGTGACAAGTACCACGAGCCCAAATAGCGAAGATAGGAAAAGCTGGAGACGGCAGGAGTGAGATTCGATGGCATGCACCAAAAACCAACACCACAATGTACGGGCGAGACTCACTGATGACCCCGTTGTTGAGCTGCACGTGCGAGGGCAGCCTCGGGATGATCCTGCATTCCTCTCCACCCGCATCTAGGGCACCGGCCGCCGAGCTTGCCTGGCCATCCAGTAGCATAGCCATCAACCAACAGGCTGCAGAAGCTCTAGCCAGAACCTTCCATGGCATAATCGTTCCGTATGTGTCTCTCGCTCCACGCCGTGGAGGTACTCTCAACTGTTCGCGAGCGAACATTAGAAGGCAACAAAGCTTCTTGATTCACTGGACCGTTGTGCATTGAGAAAAAAGGTAAAGGGAGGTCTAACCGACATCTGGGTGTTCGTGGGAAATTAAAAACTAAGAGGCCGCGCCGTAGTCCAAGTGTCCATGGCCATCCCTGAGGGCGACGTGAGATTGTCGTTAGCTCGGAAACCTCCGTCGTTGCATCGCAAACCTTCGGAGTCTACCCTCTGCAGGTCGAAGACAATTTGCGCATGTAGACTTCAGACGCATGTTGCAGTTCTGCTGTGCTGCTGTCGATGCCAAGCATACGTAGATACAAGGTCACAGGGAGATATGGTGACATGACAATTGACCTCGACTTGTTCCGCTGATGCAGTCACAGCTACACACGCAACCATGACATCCGCGAAGGAGTGTAAACCAGATACGGCAGTGGGGTTCGACGGGCATGACAAACGGTTCGCTGTCGCATTGTTGCAAAATTACAGTGTTGCAATGCGGCATAATTCGTTTCCAGACTTCCAGACATCGTCGCGGCACATTTGGAAAGCAGATCACGTCATTAAGTCGCGTACCGGCGGTACAGGACGAGGAAGACACGTGTAAGCTCCACGGCCGAAACTACCCACCAAGGGACAGCACTTCTTTTGCTGCACACGCCCGGCCCACCCGCCGGCAGCCTTGGCCGTGTCCCGGTCAACCCCTCCCGAAGTCTCCTTCGCAAGATGTAGCAAAACCACATTTTCAAAAACATTAATACCTGCGAAGCCCCCAAATTTGCAACGCCGGTCTGCTGCTATGGACTGCCTTTCAACGTGTGTCTCTCTGCTCTGTACATGCTCCACACTCCGTGCGTAACGCGTCGGGTCCAACACACGTGAGTGCTAGCCGCGGGTCGTAGAGTCATAGATGTTCTGGGTGAACAGCTTATCTTCCTTTGCACGTTTTGTCAAGTACTCCCATCGGGGTGTCCTGTATCTCGCCCTTCTTTCAGGGCTTGGAGTCGCGTTGTGCTCTCTCCCGGGCCTTGCCATGCCTGCTCGACAGCGTCGCGATTTGGCATGACCCGTATTTTCAACGTTGGACACATGACCGTGGGGATGTGCTCAAGGCACAAGCCAATATATCGGCCTGCTTTGGTGCTGTTGCGGTTGCCCTTTTTTTTCATGCCCGCCCACTCGTGGTTTTCAACCAGGAGGCGAGGCAGCTGGAGTAGAATAAGCAAGGTCAACGACTCATCACACTCCAGCCCCAGCCAGGCAGCCTCTTTCGGTACGTCCGGGCCTACGCCCACCCGTGTACTCTCCCTGGAGGACCAACATGAACTCCAAAAGGAAGAGAAACGGATGGGAACACGACATGGAGATGATGAATATAGAATCTGCAGCTGATGGGGTCACGACACCGGAGAGCAATGTTGTCCGCAAGGTACGCCGTAAGGGAAACTCCAACACAGCAGTGGTTACCAAGTACAACGAGCAGCTCTTCTCTGAAAACACCAGTGATTGAAACAATAGGCGCCACCTATGAGCGCTCACAGCTCTCGCGACGCCAGTCTACCACACACCAGCGCCCGGGCCACTTCATCTGTAGGTCTTGAAAGACACTGGTGGGTACTCAGTCAACAGCACACGGCGGTCTATTACCCATGTCTCGGGTACAGCATAAGTCTGTTTGTATCGAACCGTCTCCACCGCTCACATCAGTCATGTTACGTGATTGCCAGCGCGGGCGGGGTGGTGTGTGCATTCGGTCCGTCAAGCCCACAACCTGGTGGGATTCTAGCTATATGTCGTTTGACGCGCTGCTGCTCTTTAAGTGACTGTATTTTTTTTTTTACTTCTTTGTATTTCCGAAGATGTTTCGTAGCGTTTCAGGAGCAACCGTACACCCCAGCAGTCCCATGTGGGACCGAGGGGTTCCAAAGGGAGAAAGCACCGCGTCGTCCCCTACCCTACGCCCGTCACAGCAGATAATCGATCACGCCCTCACAATAATCTGCGCACAGCACAACGGATATGTAGATCTATCTGCAGCGGTCCGCGCACTATTCGTGAATAGGGGGCCTAGACCTGCGCCACCTCGGCTAAACGCACACCACAGACCTCGACCCATTTGGTTCCGCCTCAAGAGCTGCGCCCTCCAACAGACCCCCCCACCCCCCGCCCCCCGAAAAATGACTACAGCATCCCTCTCTCTCTCGCGCTGTCTTGCACCGTGTACAAAAGCCGGCGGCTCCGCCAAACACCGGCTCTGGCACGCACGCAAACCACCCGAACGCGGCAACCGATTTGTGACTGCTCTTTTCCGCTGCTGCTGCTGCTGCTCGGCTCTGCTTTTGCGAAATCGTTGTGTTATGTTTTTCATCAAAGGGACGCCCCATTGCCCCCTCCCCAGCGCTTAACCGCTTGCCTGCACCCGCGTTCGTTTTTCGTAGACTTTTGGGCTAATGTCGAAGGGGATGACCCTCAATGGTGGTGGTGATGGTAGGCGGCAAGCCGGGAACAATCAAACTCGACCCATGGGATCGTTCGACCGGCATGGGAATCCGCTCAAGGTGCGTGTATGAACCCCCATCCACCGAAAATTACTCTCTTTGCTTTTTGTAGAAACCTCGGCGTCGCGAGCACGTCGAAAACACGGCGTTCGGTGGGTGGTCAGAGTAGTCTGCGCAGGATCGATTGAGTATAAATGTTGGATGGAAGCATGCAATCGAGGAAGTTGGGCTACGTAGGGATAAGTTCTGCGTACCCCCTCCCTGTATCTACTTGCTCTTAAGCTTATTTTCTCGCGAAGGCGGTCCGTCGTGGTAACTAGTGTAGGCCTAGTTCGAGGAGCGGGTCGGGAGGGGCGGAAGAAGGCGCCAATAGGTAACCTTTTTTTGTTATTCTCCTGACCGGAGATTCGGCCGAGCTTCCTGCAGCCACCGCCGCGGCATCGCAACGGCAAGCTGTGCCGTCACGGTGTGCAGGCCCGCTTGCTTGCTAGCTTGCTAGTTCGCTTGGGACGGAAGCCGTTCGTCGCAGCCGGCCGTGTTGACGCCGAGGTACCGACTACGTATGTTTCGTCAAGAGCATGTCCCCTAGTTTCTCCGCTGGCGGTATGTTCTCGGACCAGCGGAGATCCCGGAGACCTCGATGAGGCTTATGGGCCCGTCGGCGTATTACGTCGGCGTTGTCTATGCAGCGCATTCTTGTTGTCTATGCAACGCGTTTCCTTAGGGTAGGGAGTTATGTAGGTGTAGATTGTTTTTCAAGTCAGGAGCTGCGAGGCAAACAGTACTCGTTTTTGCTCTCTGTGAAGATGCCGCGACGATGGGCGCCCCAGCCCCCACCACATCCGGGAAGTGCCTGCAGGGACTCCGTGTTCTCCTCCTCGCCTTCGGTTTTGGCCGAAAGCAGTTGGCCGACCACCATTTGAGTGGAGGGCTGTTGCTGGGTGCAGGGGGGAGACGCGCGGGGGCGGTGTACTCACAGCCGTGCATGCCGTGGTGGTTAGACCGTTGACCTCGCAGGGACGAACCACGGTGGGTTCTCACCGGGCCAGAGGAGGGGTGTTCACCTAGATCGTACGGGTTTCCGCACGGTGTTGGGCGTTCTACTGAAATACCCGCCCACATGCACCCCGATTCACGCCCAAACACCGCAGCGAGATGGAGGAATCTCCCGGGGGCGAGGGAGCGGAGGGAGAGGGAGCGGCCGGCTGACGAGTATCATGCTGCCGACAAGCTCAGGAGCTGTGAGGAGAGATCGCTCTACCGTGAGTTTTCGCGTCACGTGCGCAGCGCGCTTGTGCCGCTACTTGTTTTTGTGGTCGTTTCTCGTGTGAGAGGCGATTTTTTTCTTTTCTGCGGTTGTTTCTCTCGGGCTGCCGTGGCTCCTTCCTTGCCTCTGTGAAGCAAGCACACTCCCTTGACTCACTGCATCACTTTTTGAGCACCAGTTTTGTGAAGTGACTACCGAAAGGGAGTTCTGTGTACCCGCTAGGGGTACGAATGGATTGAGTATATGATCGCGCCGGAGGTTGCTCAAGAATGCCTTCCTGAACGCAGCAAAAAAGAACGTTCCTAAAGGGAGAAAACAGAAATGGCACACACGAGGGAGTTTCACACAGCAGTGGAGCGCTCTCTTTCGTTTCGTTTCGAGTTGCGTAACTGATTGGCTAGTCCGCTTGAACAAAATTGCGCCGTAGGCTAGGGGACCTGCGGGGTGAATCCGTTTGCTGGCGCCGACTGCTGCTGTTGATCCCCGAAAAGGCTTCCCCTTCAGCTACATAAAAGAAAAGCAGTAGTTACGTGTTGACGCTCATACCGAGAAGGGGAGTCGGGCGTAGGAGACTTGGACGTTTTTTTCGTAAGTGTTGGAGGCAACCTTCGTTACAGCAGTGTCAGGCGGGGGCGGGGGGCGGAAAGATGCGCCCCCTTTGCGAAAACCTGGCGTTCGGTCCTGCAGAAGAACCACGCCGTTGCTCCGTTCCGTCTCCGAACGTACGTACGTATGTAGGCCTTGGTTGCGGATTCTGGACGACCGCAATACCGTAAGTGACCCAAGATACCACATCCGCTCGACCGATTTCCAAAGCCCGATTACTCCACGGGAGAAGGAGTGGCCGTGCCGAAAGACAACGGAATGGTTTCGTCAAGAGAGAACTTTCCAAACACGTATCGTTTGACTTCCACGTCCTCTTCGTTGTGGAGTAAGGGTACCTTGCGTCACATTCGATACCCCACCGGAAGAATGCTGCAGTTAACGAGCATTCCTTATACCCTGCGGGGGGGTGGCACGTGTCGAGTGCCGGTTAACGTTAACCCCAACGAGCGCTCTGATTCTGTACGCTGCTGTGATTCGTTCCCCTGCCGCACAACACCGAAGGGTGCGGCAACCAAGACCACCACGAAACCCGCAGCCAATCCCGCGCCGAAAAAAAACTTTTTTGCACCGGAGGAAGGGCATGCGAAGAAACCTGCGGTAGGACTCGATTCCCGCGTGATTCTTGGAAGTCCAAAGCTAAACGCAGCAGCGGTGCTTGCTGCTGCCTCCTGCGGTGAAATTATGCTACTTCTGCTGCTGCTGGCACGGCCGTGCATCCGTGTGTGATTTCGCCCCTCGCAGAACGCTCCGTGGAACATGCAGAATGGGAGGCCAGAGAGACGGACTTGAATGAGAATGATTATACAGCGCCCCCCACCCCCTCCCCCTCCCCTCCTAGAGTACCTGCCGAGGTCCCTGGCCCTCCCGGGCGGAAAAGCGTGAAGCGGACGAATTTCTGGGAACGGAAAGTTGGCCTCGGTTTTTGGCCACATGTCCCGCGCGGGTTCTGCCGAGGATTTTTGCAGACGATTGTCCCCGTGATGCTGTTGCGTGTTATGTTTTGCAGCGAGCCCCGGCGGGCACCAAGAATAGGCTGCAATTGGCCGTCACTCCAGGCTCGGCGGCGGCTACCGTTTCCAGAGCATCGCAGCAGTCGCGATCTGGTGAGAATCAAGATCAAAACAACAAATAGTAGACAGCGACCCCTTTCTTCCTAGATCGTTGTCTTATCATTGGAAAGGCCGGACGAAAGTTTGTGCACGCTTAGTAGCGGTTGGCATCGACTGAGATCTGTGACAAAGGAGAGTACAGTCAGGCGAAGGAGATAGGCATTTCTCAATGCCGCCGTTGCTTCTTTCGTCAATGCGTCCGGCCCCACGTTGTTCTGCTGTTCTTGTTTGCCTCGTTGCTGCCGCCCTTTCTTGTGTATCGTATCCAGGCTGTCGCCATCTTCTGTGTTGGGGTTTACATGTACATCAGTCTATACGTGGTGGCTTCCTTTGCCACGATTCCTTTTCCTTCTTTGGTGGCGTAGCACGTCTTTTTTTTATTGGTGAAACGTGACGTCGTCGTTCTTGTCATTGCCGTTCTTTTTTTTGTTGCAGTTTAGAGGACCTCACCCCCTGGCTGCCGGGATGTTTCTTCCTGGGTATTTCGGTGCTCTCCGTTGTTCGGTCGGCGCGGTCCAATTCATGCCGTTTTGGCCCGTTCCGGGCCTCGTTTCGTTCCGGCACGTTCTGACCCCATTTCTTCTCGCCCTCCTCTCTCGCGCCCCCTTCCCTCCCTACCGTGGGCATTCAGGAGGCGCTAAGATCACACCCGGTAGTTCTATTTCTAAGTCTTCCAAGTGTTCGGGGGCGTCATCCGCACAGAGGGCTCCTTCCGCCATTCAACTTGACCGGGAGAAAAGACTACAGCGAAGAGCTGGAGGTGTCACCGAGGATAGGTTTGTGGGTGTTCGCGTGTGTGCCTTTTTTTTTCTATTTTCACTTTCTTGTTTGCATTGTCTCCCCATCTTCGCCGCTCCGCTCGGGTCAAAGGTTCTGCCTGCACCGACAAGATTTTGCCAGGATTTGAGCTGCCTGGCCGGAGTCCTTTAGCGGCATCTTGTTCGTACCACCAGATTCCTGCGTGAAGACTCTCCCCAAATTCCTCTGATGTTCGTAGCCGGCCCCCTTCATGTTCTGGTGCTTCTTTCCGGATAGATGGGGAGGCGTGGGCGAAGACGAAAAGGGTGTATTCGACGAGCCCTCCATGCGTCATTATTCTCGGCGCAGTGCCCAACCTGCCAACTCATACGGCAGCAGCAGCAGCAGCAGCAGCAGCAGGAGCACTTTCAGCAACGTGAACGGCGCGCGAGGTAGGATGGGCCAATACAACAGCAACAGGAGCGACTTGACAGGAATGTCGACTCCCGTTCACCTCAAGCAGCCATCCTCCCCAGTCAGGAGAACAAAGAGACTGCAGGCGAAGGTGAGATTGAGGATGACATCATCTTGTTTAGGGTACCCTCCGTTCCTTTTTCCGTGTTGGGATTTTTTTTCTGGCTGACGTGACGGGATCCCTCTTGGTTCAACGAAAAAGTGATCCTCGGTTGCAGGATGTGTGGGCTTAAGCCGAACCTGTCCAGCCGACCGAGTGAAACTGTCATGTTGCGGGACAGGAGGTCTTGCCACCGCTTTTGCAGGACAGGGGGCTTTCCACCGCCGGTGGCCTTTCCGAATCCTCTCATCCTCGCAACACGCTTGTTGTCTTCGATGTTAAATGCCCTTCAATGCGCAAGAACGACAGCAACTACTCGCGCAGCGAGACTGCTAGCGAGGGTTTGCCTCCGATGGCGCGTGCGTGGCCATGGGAAACTGCTTGCGTCGTTACATGCGCATATTTCTCCCGAGCGACCGCTTCCTCATGAATACCAAGGTCGCGTATTGGCGATTTCCGCTCACCAAGAACAGCGAAAACAATTTGCCTCTGCTGCGCGGGCGTAGAATATAATACCCCTTGATGTTATCACTTTGAAAACACGATCCCGCCGGGATGTTGTGTTTCAATGTCAGGAAATAAAGCTTTAGACGTTGAGCAACGGGTCTCCTTTGTCTCTTTTTTTTTTCGACCAGTCAGAGCACGAGTGTGGCCGTTTTGTTTGCCGTTATCGAACGTCATTGGGGCTGACCGTAAGTGCAGGGGCTCCGATTGTGTGTCGCCACACATGCCGTAGAGTTCCTCTCTTGGGCCTTGCACGCCTGGGTGTGAACCCTGTTGCCTTTTTTCCTTACCCTACCACAGCAACTGCAGCCCCCTGGTCGCGCCTTCCCCGACACGGTAGAGACTACAAAAAACGCCTCTTTCGCTGTCGATGCGCTTGAAACGTTGCGTGTTGCTTCTCATCATCGCCCCGTACAGCTAGCGCCAGCAATAAAAAACTTTGCAGTCAGTCAAGAAATCGATGTTGCCTCGAAAACTCAAAAGTCTAAGAACTTGACCACCATTTAGGAGCGCAGTTCAGAACCCCTGCACTAAAACCTGTAAGTGGCCATTCATAACATTAACCTAGGAACCACCATGCAAGAGCCCCAGGCTCGTCCGAAACTGCAGGCGCTTGCTACTGTATGCCACTTGCCACCGTGTGTTTATCGCTTCTTGTGTGTGCGTTTTTTTTTTTCGGATGCGTGCGCCTACCGCTCGCTCGCTCTGGTACTTTTTGTGTGTGTTGACGGCAGCCTGCCGGGGCTCAGAAGACGATCCCAAAGAAGCCGAGAAAGCCTCCAGGCTCGCCGGAGTTGGTGACGATCGACGACTCTTCAAGCGGCGAGGAAGAGGAAGAGGACGAGTCAGACGGCGCCAAGGAGGTGGAAGAGGTGCCGGCGAGCGATGCGAGGATAGAGAGGGCGGGGGGGGCGCGGAAGAGGCGGAGGGGGGAGGGGGCGGATAGCGACGACGCGAGCGATGAGGCGGCAGGCGGCAGTGATTGGTGTGTTCAGACGGGGGTGAGTGAATCTCTGCGGGGCACCCGAGGGCGTGACGACTGCTTCAGGAAGAGAAAGACCCCACCCACCGCTTTGAAAATGTTCCCGCCGAACACCTGGACCATTTGAGAGTGTCGCCACGTGGGCTATTTTTGTGGGTCAACGGGTTCACGACTGTTTGGAGTTGTCGGTAGGGCCGAAAAAGCACCATTGGCGGTCGAACATCGACCTCCAACTGATTCACCTGTTTTTTTCCCACAGGACAGGCAACTTTATGCATGAGCATGGGTTGCGTTGAAATGACACCAAATCTACCTTGGGTTGGGGATTCATACTTTACGCTTGCAAGGCAACAGGGTGGAGTCCATGATTTTCGGTGTTTCTTTCTTGGCGTTTTTTCTTGCGGTCTCGTCCGTTTCTCTCTCGCCGTCTCGCTGGTTCAGTCACCAAGACAGAGAAATGTGCGTACATGCATACAGGCCGGGATGCCCGTCCCCCTCCCATATCACGTACCCACCACGCTTTACTCGCTTGCTGGCACGGAGTAGCGTTCAGGAATCGTTTTTACGAACTCCGGTGGAGAACAGCGGCAAGATCGACGGCGCGTGTGTATGTTCGAAATATGAACTACGTGTACTCTATTTTGCATTCTTTTTTCAGGACGGAATCAAACACGATCTATGTATTTTGTCGAGAGATCTCCGAGGCAGGCGGGCGAACGGCAAAGGGTGGCCACGCCAAGCGCCTCCGTAGCGATCGGAAACACCGATGAACGGCTAAATAGCCGCCACTGACGACAGCGCTTGTGTTGGCACACCTAACTTTCGACCTTCGTCCCTCGCGCCCCCCTGTCCCCTTGTTTTGTGTACGTGCGTACCGTGGCCGTGACGTCATCACGTGCCAAAATGAAACCGTCCTCTGACAACGATGTCTGAAACTGTCGTAAAAAAAAAAAAATCATAATAAATTTCGACGGATTTGCGGTGTGAGAAGGCGAATCGATCGAGCGCGGACAAACGAAGGGGCGGAGCGTCGTCGCTGCAGGAGCGGGGAGAGGTATGCACGCGCGGAGGGTCTTGATGCACGGGGCGACCTACCCACCGCTTAGTTGCTGGGTCTCACGACGGCCTAGGATAAGACGTGATTCGCTATTTGTAGCTTGGTCGGGATGAAGCCAGTAGAACTGTAGTTGCACAAACGGGAGGACCACCTTCTCTTACGGCACGATGCAGAACAAAGCGAGATGAGCCTTCTAGTGAGTCCCCGTCGGCCACATCGAGCTCACGTCTCCGTGTCCCCTCCCCCCTCTGCGCGCGCACGGGGTGGCTGCGAAAAAAAATATAGTCGACGAGTCCGATGTTCGGGTCCGTGCCGGAGATGGCGGCGGAGGCGGTGATGATCGGGAAGTGGATCGTGATGGGCGGCTGCTACACGTCCATCAACAAGGTCGGGAACGTGACTATCGGCTTGAAAGGGTAAGACAGAGAGATCCCCGAAGAACGTACTTCGGCGGCAAAACATGAGAATATGCTGTCGTGATTGAGACCACCTGGCATCACTGACAATATTTATCTTCTCAGAATATGCCTAGCATCCGAAGTTGTTCTTTGGGTACAATGTGCGTCTGAGTATTCTGCCTCTCAGCAGGTGTGTTGTATGCCTTGCTGACTATGTGACACCTTGGGTCGTGTGTGTGTTTCGGTATGAATTGAAGAGCGCCTGCCACCCCACGGTCATCAAACACGCCAGCCCATCGCTGCTGCATGTCTAACACGGTAGGAACACATGTAGGTTCTGGTAAGAGTATTCTCTATCTTGACTTCTTCGTTATCGATGGGCAAGTGAACTTGTTTCGTGTCTGCAAGAAATACGCCATCCAATAAGTACAGAATATTTCGAACCGGCTTGTGCCCTCTTCCGTTGCCCCTGTTACTTTCCGGCAACCTCTGCCTTTTGTTTGACGTCGTGCGTGCTTCCCTGGGCTTTCTTGATGGCGTTTTTTTGTGGCGATTCCACAGGGATGGGGACACGAAGGACACTACGCTGTGCATACCATCAAAGGAGATAACGTTTTTTGGGTGAGACTTAATCTGTTTTTTGTGCTCGTATGCATATACATACATACGCGCACGGCCGGTGTTGTGTACTAGCCGTGTGCCCCCCCGCACACCAATCAATGCCCCAAAGCCATCAAGTAGAATGTACACTCCAGGGCGGCGGGGAGCCTACATTTTTCTGTTTTTGCGCGTCGCAAGGGCGCACGCTCATTGGTCGCGATCTCCGGGTCCAAAGATGGTGTAACCGTGTTCGGCTCCCCGTGGAGTGCAGGCGTTGAGCATGTGTCGGTCCAAGCCGGATTAGGCACGCCCATCCTCGTGTACTTTCACGAAAATATTGTTAAGATCGTTCTCCCTCGGTACCTTATGGTTGAGCAATACCGACCCCCGAAGCGTCGAGTGTGCGGAAGGGGTGACCTGTAGCAGGGGTCCCATCTCCCCGACGTCTGTCTGCCAAGGGCGGTTCCTCCTTTCGTGTCTATCTCACGCCCATCCTCACTCCCCTTCTTTTCTCCCTCCTGCCGTCGCTCTCGGGGTACCCCTGGCTGGTTTGGCTCCATGTCACGCCTATGGTCACTCTCCACATCCTCCCCCCCCTACACACAATCTTCATTACCCCCGCCTACCTTGGCTCTTTCTCACGCGAATGCTCACTCCCTATTCCTCTCCCTCCCCTCTCTGCTCGGGTGACCCCGGTTGGGCTTGGCTCTATCTCACGCTGATGCTCACTCCCTCCTATTCCCCTCCC